AATTATTGAGAAAGCGTGCTTTTTTTAGTTGGGCAAGTTGCAGAAAAAGTAGGGGCAAGTTCCTACGATCAACAGTGGGTAATTGTGGGCATAGTGTTCTGTTTAGGCTTTTTTTCTTTTTTTTTTTTTCTCTCTGTATCTCTATAGGTTGGACTCGATGGACTTGTGTCTTTTTTCAACCTGACTAACTATATAACTATGTAACTATAGAATGGAAAATGTCTTCACTCATAATTCTTGAGGAGACGTATGCCCAATGCCCATCAATGGCCAACATTAGTTTATTCTGAAAAAATGTTAATGCCTAGGGAGGAGGGAGAACAACCACATGATGGTGGTACTGGCATATCTTAGGGAGAAGTTATTGATCTTTATATCTACAGGGGTACCTTCTGGTGATACAAAAATAAACTTGCCACACAGTTCTGGTGAAATCAGCCAAACTGAGAGACAATCACATCTATGGCCAGCTTTAACCCAACCAAATCATCATAGGATCTCCTTAAGGGAATATGTCAGAATGTTCATAAAAAAAAAAAAGTTGTACGCCATCATTTATTTGTCTTATTGTTGCATATTATACACTTCTGTAGTATCTGATTGAAGAGTAAATCCAGACAGCAAGTACAATCATGGAGTTTCACTTTAATTAGTTATTTTTCCTAGTGTACCAAAAGCTGTAAATTGACCAAGTCTTAAGTCTTCTTGCATTCGTCTCTGTGTATATAGTGCAACCAAGTAAAACCTAAAGATAATAGAATATCTAAAGTCAACACCTTTTTTGGTAGATTTGGATAGTGTAGAAAGGGGTTAAAATTAGGGATTCACCGATACCGTTTTTTCGGTGTTGAGTACTAATATTTATCTTTCGGTACTCGCCGATACTGAGTACCGATACCGGTACTTACTCTAGCATGGAGCTGGCTTCCCAGGCAATCAAGAAGCCAAGCGGCGGGAAATGACACATCGCCTGGTTTCTTGATTGCCCAGGAAGCTGGTTCCATGCTGTTAGGCTGGCTCCCGGCCAACCATTATTGAGCCAGCCAAGTAGCATGGAGGCGGCTTTGCAGCCAATCAGGAAGCCGGGTGGCAAGTAATTGCCTTTTCCCTGGTGAAGCTTTGATTGTGGAAAAACATGTAGTGAATTGGGGTACTTATTAGTTGGAAAGAGGTTCTGATAAGATATTAAATAGCAAAATAAGAGTAGTAAAGATTAGAAAAGAAAAAGGGAAGAAAATTAAAAGATTTTTTTAGCTTCATTAGACAGTTGGTGAGCCACAGAAATATGCAGGGATAATGCAGGAACCTCATCTCGATTTAAACAGTGTGTGAAATTTTAATAAATGGGAATCTGATATTTTAATGCCTACTTACAAAAAAATCTGGAGGGGTCAATACATCTAGTCAGATCTAAGGAATCCCTATGATATAAAACCTAATTTATGTATTGTATTATTCCATGTAATAAATTCTATACAAGTGCTATTGTCTAAAGCGGCCTTTGTCTACCAAGGTTCTGTGGAAGTCTAGGTTTCCTACAGAGTATGCTAGGAATTCCTTGAAAGACAAGCAATTTCTGCCTCTCAGATATGTTACCACTGACATCAAGTTACCTTTTTAGCTGCTGTATCTGTAAGGTGGCATTCTTCCCACTGACAAATAATAAAAGGAGCATTATTCAAAATGACTACCAATGTAAGGAGCCTTCTTGCCACTGACTACCGGTGTAATACGACCCTTCTCCCACTGACCACCAGTGTAATGGGGCCCCTTCCCCAGACACCACTAGAGATGAGTCCCTCCTCCAATGACCACCAATATAAAGCAATCATTATTCCACTGACCATCAATCTAAGAGGGGCCCTTCTCCACAGGCCACAAATCTGAGGGAGCAGTCCTGGGTTTTAAATATTTAAAGCAGGCTACATCTCCTATTCTTTTATTGATTCTTATATCTCATCTAACTGTTCATGTCATTGTACCCTGAGCTGTAGATATAATTATTATTAACAGCAGTTCCATGAGACATGAACATTATGTCAGAGGTTTCTCAATGTTAAAAAGGTTGGAAAAGGCTAGTCTAAAGTTATATTTGAAAATGCATTTGAAAGCAGTCTAGTATTCTGTGGCTGCATACTTAGAGTCTTTCTTTTTAAACTGTATCTGGAAAATACCTAAGGTGAAGAAAGCGATGTTGTGGGCTAAAAGATCATCTAACCACATTGTGTTTCCTTTTACCAATATATTTGTCTCATATTTATTTTACAGAATGTAATAATGGCATCCATTAGAGGCCCATTTTCATGGGAATGTGGAAACTGTTATTGGTATTTTTGTGTGTTTTTTCTATGTTTTTCTATTTCAGTTTACTGCCCCTTTAAGAAAATTTAACGGACGATTTTTCGGCGGGAAAATACGTTTTTTTCGGCGGTAAAACATCGCCGCGAGGACTTCTAGAACATTCTACAGTTACCCTATATAAGGAGGTGCTCCAAGAAGTTGTCAGTCTGGATCCCAGTTCAACAAGCCTTGGAGAATCTGCTTCGGAAGGTCCTGGAGAAGGCACAGAACGCGGGAGGAGAAGACTGGCTTCGTCACTGCCTGGAATCAACGACAGCAGAAATCGGTACTCACCAGTCGGCGGCTGAAGAACTGCGGGACGAACAGCCGGTGATTGAGGATCCGAGAATGCCGCCCCCCACGATTTCGCACGCTGGAAGGTAACGTCGACTCGGAGGGTCAACAAGGGAGGACCGGTACGACGGCTTCAGCACCTCGGCCAGGGACAGAGACACTTCGCTCTACATCAAGAGGAGGAGGGCGTCGTCAACGACAGAGGGGGCGTGGCTAAGCGCGTCAGACGAAGAGGCCGGGCTTATTCACTATCCACAATCAGAAGAAGAGGGGGAAGGGCCAGAGGCCGCGCGGCGTCTCCTAGGCAACAGGCAGACGGTGTGCCTGATGCACATTTAGGAGCAGCACAAGGATCTTTGTTTGGGGACACAGTTGCTGGTCCTGATCCTGATCCTGGGCAGCGAGCAGCCATCACATCCGCTGAAGCAACTCTGCACAGGCATTCTGCTGTGTCAGAGCTGATGGGACATAATGGACAGCTTTCATCTCATCTCTCTCGGTCAGCACAGATGTCAGTTGGCAATGAACAGCTTCCTACAGAAACACTGCATCTTCTCCAGGTGATACCACTGGTAGGAAGCAGCGTCTCAGTGCCTCCTTCAATTCCTATCCATGATTCAGGTATTTATAGTGGTGAGTCAACTGATTGTAATGTTTAACATGACTTAATTTCCTCACTATCAAAAATTGCTGATAGGATGTCTACGCCTTCATCATCTATTGCATCGGTTTGGGATCAACCAATTGCAGTTAGGGGTAGCGCTAGAGTCACTTCTCTTGTTCTAGTTGATAAAATAATTAATAATTCAAGAATACCTGAATCTTGCTTGAAAGAACCGTTACCTTGTGAGGTTTCGCCATTAGGGATGCACTTAACTGGTTCTTTGAAAGAAAAGATTTGGAAAGGTGAATTTATAGACTTACTGTCGTTATTGCCATCCGCTAAAGAATTTATTTTTTTTAAACCGGATGATGGCTTTGAGGACGATCGTCGCAGGCCAGTTGCACGTAATTTTAATAATTGGCTTCAGGCTTTTTGTATCCACGCTAGCATTTTGGGAGAGAAATAGCCGGATAAGTGTACGGGGCTTTTTCAACATATTGAAATCATCCTGGAGGCTTATAAAAATTTCGGAGGTTTGGGCTGGTTTCAATATGATGAGTCCTTTCGGCAGAAAATGTCGGTTTTTCACTCTCTTAAATGGGGAATGAAGGATGTTGGGTTATGGTTAAATCTTATTTCAACACAAAGACAAACCCCTTTTAAACAACCTGTTAGTTTTTCTATATCCCCGATTCGCAAGGGTTTTTGTTTTGCTTACAATGAAGGACACTGCAAATGGGCTGCGGCATGTAAGTATAAGCATGAATGTTCTTTTTGTGCTGGACCGCATCCGTTGAGCAAGTGTTTTAAAAGGAGTAATGTTACTTCCACGGCAGCCAAAGATATTTTTCATAAAAGCCTGCACACCTGTGAGGCTGGAAAAAATGCTGCCATGGCTGGTGCAGTACCCAGAACAGGGGAAGGCACAATTGCTCGTTAAAGAATTTAAATTTGTTTTTTATCTCCCTATATTTAAAGGTACTGGTTGTAAAGTGGTAAGTAATTTGAGTTCAGTTCGGGAGTTTTATTCAATTGTACGGGATAACATTTTCAAAGAAGTTTTAGCGGGCCGGTTTGCAGGTCCATAGAAAACAAAAGGGAACAGAGCGCCACCTCCGTGTGTAAAATCATTTATTACAATAAATAAAACAAGGGATAAAAGTACTCGCAAACAAACGTTTTCATCACGCTTTAACAACAAACGAAAGGCCACACTGTCTGTTTGTAATAATCTATTTAAATGGAGGACGGAACTCAGCTGCGGAGTCACGTTCAATCTCACGTGCTCGGGCACAGGAGTAGGTGCTGGTAAGCAAAAACGAACCAAACAGTCTCAGAGCATCATAGTACCGCCTCTAGTACAATCTGACTACTCTGACTAACATAAGAGTGATGTGTGGTGGAGAACGGGATTGCTCAAGGTGTATCAGTGTTTGTATGTTACGTCACATATATCACTTAAATTGTTATCCTTGGTTTAACACAGTCCTATAGTATCAACAGGTAGTTCAAGATAGATTCAGCAGGTGGCAGTAGAGTTCACTTAGAGAAATACAGTCTTATCATATTCAACGGATAATTTTAGATAGATCCAGCAGGTGGCGGTAGAGGCCGCCTACTCACTGCAGACAGATAGTATTCGGTCTAAATAGGTGACGTTATACAGCCTCTCTAGTCAGTTGAACTAGAGGGCGGATACTTGCTGTTAGGAGCTTCCGCAGTGAGAGGCAAGGAGGCACGGAGGAATCCGGGTTCAGCAGGGCTAGGGGCCCGATCCAGAGTCCAGGTATGTGGCGAGTGCTGCGGTGGTCTCCCGTATCCGTCTGGCGTTCCTATCAGGATATTGGAACGCCAGTCTTCCGTATTGCTGGCGCTTATGATGCGGCAGGGGGAGTTCCCTGATGACGTCGGCGGACCGGGGGGTTAGGAAGCCCTCGAGTCCGCGACGCTGCACAGCCCGATCTGAGGGGGATGTTACACTGTTAACCCAACATGGTATCCCCCCGACTATGTAACACAGTAGTCTCACCGTCCACCGACCGCAGTCAGCCAACATTGACGCGTTTCAGGGGCAAGCCCCCATCCTCAGAATTGGTTTGCAGGTGCTTTTAATAAGCCACCATTTGAGAATTTCTGCATTTCCCCATTGGGTTTAGTTCCAAAAAAAGAACCCAATTCCTTTTGTTTAATTCATCACCTTTCTTATCCTAAAGATGATTCTCTCAATGCAGATATAGATAGAACTGTATGTTCTGTATCTTATACTACTTTTGATGAAGCAATTGCCAAAGTTAAAAAATTTGGTCGTGATGCATTATTGGCGAAAGCCGATATTCAGTCAGCATTTAGGCTCCTGCCTATAGTCCCAGCTGCTTTCAATTCTTTTGGTTTTTATTTCGAGGGCTATTATTTTTTCGATAAGTGTTTACCAATGGGTTGTTCTTTATCTTATTTTTACTTTGAAACATTTTCTTCCTTTTTAGAATGGGTAGTGTCGGTGGAGGCGGACTATGATGGCATTGTCCACTATTTAGATGATTTTTTGTTTATAGGCCCTCACGATTCTCCTATATGCATGAATTTGTTCAAGCTTTTTAGTTCTATTTGTAGTTATTTTGGGATTCCGTTAGCGGAGGAAAAATCAATTTTGCCTACTGTGTCATTGCAGTTCTTAGTTATTCTAATTGATACATCGGAATTTAGTTTACCTATGGAAAATATTAATAGGACGCATTCTTTTATTACACAACTTTTGCAAAGGCGTAAGGTTTTGTTGAGAGATCTGCAATCTTTGTTGGGTTTGCTGAACTTCGCTTCCCGCATTATGCCAGTCGGTCGCATTTTTTCGAGAAGATTTTATTTGGCAATTTCAGGGCTTAAGTCCCCATTCTCCCATGTTAGATTGAGTGTGGATTTGAAGGAAGACTTGTTGGTTTGATACAATTTTTTGGACAATTTCAACGGCAAGTCATTTTGGCAGAGTGATTTCATCCCGGCAGAGGAGATCAACTTGTAGACGCCGCTGGTTCTACGGGTTTTGGGGCCATTTGGAACAATCATTGGTGTTGTGATAGGTGGCCTCCTTCTTGGGTGAAGCTTTTTCCAGTGGTAGTGGCTTTGGAAATATGGGGTGTTAATTTTTCCAATAAGCGACTTTTTTTTTACTCTGATAATAAAGGGGTTATTTTTGCTATAAATTGTTTGTCTTCCAAGTCGCCTTTGGTAATTAAATTTAGGGTTGCACAGATACCAGGTACAAGTACGAGTGCATGTACCGATACTTTTGAGCTCCAAGACTAGACTAGAGAAAAATTCAAAAATTAGGAGGCAGCTGTCATTTGTAAGGAGCACACGGAGATCCTGTGATTTGTACATCTCTGTTTTAATGTATGATTTTGTTTTTATAAATATAAATAAAGGGATGCACAGATACCAGTTTTGCGAGTACGAGTACTGGTACTTGCCGAGTACTTACAAGTATGAGTACTGATACATTTTTGTTTATTGTCATGTGACAGTTTTTCTAAAACAATACAGACTAATGATTTCAGGACAGTGGTGGAGCGCCAGAGCCAGGTCCTAGCTGCAACCGCTGCAACCCTGGTAGTTCTCATGAAAATGCCAAGTATCTGCACTGGTACTCGAAAAGTATCTGTGCATCCCTAATTAAATTGTTGAGACATCTAGTTTTCTTATGCCTTAAATTAAATATCTGGTTAAAAGCAAACTTCATCCCTGGAAAATTGAATGTATTGGCGGACTCTTTGTCCCGATTTCAGATGCAGCGGTTCTGGGAACTTCTACCGGACGTGGATCGGGAGCGTTTCCCATGCCCAGGGCATCTATGGAATTTAATTTGGACCTTATTTCAGGAACCATCCGCAATTCGGTGGCACCGAAAACTTGGGCTGATTACTCTGCTGTGTGAGGAAATGGGTTTGTCTTCTATCTCCCCATGTGAAGAATCTATTTTAGCTTTTATTTGCTCAATAATTAAATGCAGACCTTCCTATAGCCACTTGGCTAAAACGGTATCTGGCATTTCCTTTTTCTTTAGATTATTTAATCTGCCCCCATGTTGCAGTTATTTTACGGTTTAATGGGTTTTGAAAGGTTACAAAAAGGGCAATTTTTATCCTGACGCTAGGCGTCCTATATCAGGTGAGCTTCTTAACATACTTTGCAGAGCGAGCTCTGGGGTCTGTCCTTCAGCTTATGAGGCTTTGTTGTTAAATACGGCATTTATTTTGGCATTTTTTGCAGCTCTTTGCATTTCGGAGCTAGTAGCACCTAATAAAAGGGGTAAGTCGGGTCTTTTGTTTAATGAGGTGTTATTAGTTGAATCTGCTGTTCATATAAAGATTGCTAAGTCAAAAACGGATCAATTAGGATTGGGTCATTGGTTGACTTTAAGAGCTGGCAGCGATCCTCTTCTTTGTCCAGTAGTTATGGTACATACTTACCTTTTATCCAGACCTCGGGTTGATGGAAATTTTTTGATCCATTTAGACGGTCCTCCACTTACGATATTCCAATTCAATACTGTTTTTAAAAGATGCTTGTCACGTTTAGGTTTAGAAGATTTAAAATTTTCATCCCATTCTTTTAGGATTGGGGCGGCTACTGAAGCCGCAAAATTGGGTCTTGATGAATCAGTAATTAAGAGAATTGGACGATGGGCTTCCAACAAATTTAGTATCTATGTGCGCCCTAATCTATCTCTTTAATTTCAGGAAGGAGAACTATAGTGTGGATCGTTGGACATTCATTTGTCTTTTAGGCGCAGAACCGAGCGGCTCATCGAAGTTATTCAGAAAATTTAAGTATGCCTAAAGACATATGCCTAAAGACAGTGTGTGTTCTGGAAGGGGATTAGAGGTTTGCATTGGTGTAAGTTAATGCTTGTTTTGTCAAATTTATTGAATTGCTGGCCTACTCCGGATATAATTATTATTCATTTGGGGGGTAACGATATAGGTCATGTCAAAACTTTAGATTTATTATATAAAATGAAAGGGGAGTTATCTAGTTTAAAGAAAGCATTGCCCGGCACTTTCTTTATTTTCTCCAAGATAATACCACGATGGGTATGGTTGTCTTCTGTGGCAGGCCGCCCTTTTGTGAAAATTAGTAAGCGCCTGAACAAAGCAATGGAAAAATGTATGCCGCTTTTAGGTGGGTTTTCTTTTCGGCATAGGGATTTGGAGGGCTTTTATCGATAGGACGCGATACATCTCTCAGATGTGGCTTTAGACATTTTCAATTTGAATTTACAGAGTTGTATTGAGATGGTCGCGGCTGGTGGTGGTGCCTGGGCTTGCGGTAGTGCATGCCAGGCTGGTGGGGACTATACCCTTAAGTGATGTATTGCTTGAGTTTCAATAACTGGGCAATTGGTTGGATATAACGTTTTAATGGTTGATTGATTCAAGTTTTGGTTAATAAATATTTTTAAAAAACATATTATTTATACCAATAAAATGCTGCAGCCAATATTGCCAAACTAACTAACATAGCGTATGTGTTTTATTTATTTAAAGTATTATTGTTAGTATAAGCATATGTCACCTGCAGTCCCATGTAATAATGGCATCCATTAGAGGCCCATTTTCATGGGAATGTGGGGACTGTTATTGGTATTTTTGTGTGTTTTTCTCTATGTTTTTCTATTTCAGTTTACTGCCCCTTTAAGAAAATTTAACGGACGATTTTTCGGCGGGAAAATATGTTTTTCCGGCGGGAAAACATCGCCGCGAGGACTTCTAGAAGATTCTACAGTTACCCTATATAAGGAGGTGCTCCAAGAAGTCGTCAGTCTGGATCCCAGTTCAACAAGCCCCCCCCCTCCCTAGTCGCGGTGTTTATGTGGTTTGTCACCTCATATGAGGGGGACTATACCCTTAAGTGATGTATTGCTCGAGTTTCAATAACTGGGCAATTGGTTGTATATAACGGTTTAATGGTTGGTTGATTCAAGTTTTGGTTAATAAATATTTTAAAAAAACAGATTATTTATACCAATAAAATGCCGTGGCCAATATTGCCAAACTAACTAACATAGCGTATGTGTTTTATTTATTTAAAGTATTATTGTTAGTATAAGCATATGTCACCTGCAGTCCCATGTGTCTGCAAATGTTTTGTAAGATTAATTTCTGAAAAAATGTAAAGATGTTTTAGAGCTCCAAGATATGCTAAACTCTATTGTTTTATACACTCAGTTGAGTTGATTTACTAATGAGAAAAGGGCTGTTCACTTTGCAAGGGAATGTTCCCTTAGCTTAGTGAATAAAGTGAAGTTCAGTTGACTTCCATCTTCCAAATATTCACAAGCAAAAATACTGGTACATTTTTATTCTTTTTGCATGCAGGCACTGCGCTACCATATAGGCAGGTCAAGGGGGGCAGGTCAGGGGAGGGGTTGGGGGGGCGG